CCCATCCAATGTAAAAAATCTTCCTTGTGCATCTTTTTTATGTGAGATAATTTCCCCCTCTCTTCCTTTCTCTTCCTCCTTCCAGTATATCTCTCTCGTCCTTTCCTTTTGAGATCATTCCACCATAACAGACTCATACCCATGCTCTCCCTCTATGTAGTATCCTTCTGCCCTGACAATGATAAAGTTCTTAGGGGTCACGTGTCATCTTCCCATTTGGGAACATAAACAGTTTTCCTTATTAAGTTCCATATGATTTCTCACTTATGTTTATCTTTTTACATTTGAGTCTTGTGTTTGAATGTCAAATTTCCTATTCAGCTCTGTTCTTTTCATCTGGAATATTTGGAAGTCCTCTGTATCATTCAATGTTCTCATTTTTTCCTCTGTATGATTATCTTCAATTTTGCTGGGTAGGTTATTCTTAGCTCCTTTGCCTTCTAGATTATCATATTCCAAGCCCACTGCTCTTTTATAATGGTAGCTGCTAAATTTTGTGTGACTTTGGCCTTATGGTATTTGAACTGTTTCTTTCTGGCGGCTTTCATTATTTTCTCCTTGATCAAGGAGCTCTGGAATTTGGCTATAACATTCTGGGGGGGTTTCAATTCGGAATCTTTTTCTGGAGGTGATTGGTGGATTCTTTCATTGTCTATTTTTTCCTCTGGTTCTAAGATATCGGGACAGTTTTCCTTTATAATTTCCTGAAATACGATGTCTAGGCTCTTTATCTGATCATGGCTTTCAGGTAGTTCAATTATTTTTAGATTATCTCTCCTTGATGTATTTTCCAGGTCAGTTGTTTTTTCCATAAGACATTTCACATTTTCTCCTATTTTTTTTCATTCTTTTGACATTGTTTTATTATTTCCTAATGGCATCTAGGTGCCACAGTGGATGGAGTGTGAAGCTTGGAGTTGGAAAAACTTATCTTCCTGAGTTCAAATCTGGCTTTTGACACTTAACTAGCTGGGTGACCCTAGGCAAGTCAACTTAATCTTGTTTGCCTGAGTCTCCTCATCTGTAAAATGACTTGGAGAAGGAAATGGCAAACGACTTCATTATCTTTGCCAAGAAAACCCCAAATGGATTCACATATGGTTCACAAAGAGTTGGGACACTACTGAAAAACTAGTGAACAACAATGTCTCATGGAGTCATTAGCTTCCACTTGACCAATGCTAAGTTTTAAGGAATTATTTTCTTCAGTGAGGTTTTGTACTTCTTTTACCAACTGGTCAATTCTGCTTTTAAGAAATTATTTTCTTCAGTATTTTTTTGTGCCTCTTATTTTACTAAGCTATTTTTTTCACAATCTTCTTGAATTCTCTCATTTTTTCCTCAATTTGATTTCTAAATTTTTTAAAATCTCTTTTAAAAAACTCTTCTAAAAATTCTTTTTGGGCTTATGTCCAATCGTCATTTTTCTTTGAGGCTTTGTGAGTAGATACAGTTCTTCCTTTATGTAAATTCACATTACACAAATTTGACTTTACATAAAGAATCCTGAAAAAAAGCTGCATTCCAAAAAAAATTTGTTAACTCCATTGTACAGTACTGTGCTCTCTCTTTGCTCTTGCCCTGTGACTCAGTGCTCTGTGGTCTTCCACCCCACTTCCCATAAAAACAAAACAAAACAAAAAACCCTCCAAGTGAAAGTGGAAGAACAGACTTATGGAGAGACTGCCACCACTGCCAGTACCACAGGATTAGGCGCTTGGATTGAGGGCTCTGGTGCTGAGAAGAGACCTTTGCCCTGTTCCACCCTCCCACCCATGTGTTCAGCCTTGCATCTATCAGTCCATCCATGCGTGGGTACCACATGTCTTTCCTTGGTCCCTCTGTGTTCCTCCTCCTGCTCTTTTTTCTGTCTCCTGCCCCCACATATCCTTGAACTGTGTGCTGGCACCCTTCTTCCACAGGTACACAGCCCCCTTCCTGCCAAATTCTTCCTTCCCTTCCCCACATCTGCAGGCAAATTTGCATTATGTAAAACTTGCTTTATATAGAGATCTGTGGACTGGTCCACTTATGTAAAGCAAGACCTGTTTGTATTTACAAGACATTATCTTCTACTGATTTTTTATCTTGAGGTTTCTTGTCACCACAGGAGCTATTTATGGTCAAGTTCTTTTGTTGTTGTTTTATCATTTTTTTCCCCAACCTATTTCTCGACCTTGGACTTTGTTAGAGTTGGGCTGTGCGTACCTCTAGTGGAGAACAGGCTGTCTCAAGCTTTAGGCTTTTATAGTTTTTGTAGATTGGTCTGGGGGATCCTGTAAGTTTTCACTGCTTTCAAGGTGGTATGATTCAAGTAGAGGTGTAGTCAGTACCCTTCTGGTCTATGCTCCGGTCCTTACCTAAGTAGAGTTCTTGCTCCTCTGTGATCGCAAGTGCTCTTCTCCACTTTGGAACTGTGACCTGCAAATCAGTAATGGGCAACAGAGTTGCCAAATGGAGCCTGGTCCTGTACTCAGTGCTAGCACAGGGACCCCCTATAATTTTTCTGACCAAGTGTTCAATACTTTTAAATCTCTGGGTGCTGAGTGCTCCTGGTACTGCTGCTGTTGCCACTGGAAGAATCATGAAAGAACCCAAGGCCCACAGCTAGTATTGCTTCTACTACTCCATGCTCCCACCCAGCCCCAACTCATGTCCTCAGACCTCTTCTTCTGTATCTTAAGTTGTCCTGGGCAGTAAAAATGACTGACTTTGACTTTCTGTTAGTTATGCCTTTAGAATTTGATTTGATGCACTTCTAAAAGTTGTTTAGAGGGGAATATTGGGAGAGTTCAGAAAAAATGCTCACCTTATTCCACCTTTCCTTGAGATTCTTGACTCCTGCCCTACCCCCCATCAAATGAGTTTTATTATTTTGTCCAGTTGTATATAGTAATCCTTTGGTGGTTTGATCAGTATGGCAATAAAACAATTTAGGTGGTATTGTCATTTTTGTTACAATAGTGTGGCCCATGGATCCAATGAGGAGCTTCAAAAAATGAGAGAAAAAGATGTCATCAGAAGATGGGCTGGTCATGTGACACTGTTTCAGTTGGTCTCCTCTCTACTCACATAGCCAGCACCTTAATTCATGTGCTTATGACCTCTCACCCAGATGAGTACAATAACCTCCTAACTGACCTCTCTTCCTTGCCCCTTCTCCAATCCAGCTTCTACACAGTGGCAGTGATTTCCATAAAGTTTAGGTCTGATCACGTCACACTCCTCTACCCAATACACTCTCAAAGCACCCTATTTCCCTGATGATCAAATTTAATTTCCTTTGGCTTTTAAAACCCTTCTCAACATGGTCTGGTTTTACCTTTCTTATTGCCTTTCAGATATCTTGAAGTGGGTGTGCAGAACACATCTTCAACTCAACATGTCCAAAACTGAATTCATTATCTTGACAATAAGAGGTTCTTATGACAATGATTCTCAAGTGACCTTGAATCACCAAGGATAAAATTATATTCTATTTGTATTTATATTTACTAAGAGAAATATATGGTCATATGTAACAGATTTTTGAATAAGGACTTGTATAAAAAGTTTTCAATTTAAAAAAAATCTGAAGAATGCCTGTTTCCTGTGTGTTCTGATGAATTAAGATTTTACTGTATTTCATTTGAGGGATGAGTGCAGCAATTGATCGCCCACTACCGTTCAACAAACCACTGATTCACTAATCGTACTCACTAAAAGGAATACTTATAGCCTAGTGTTTTTGATACAATAAAGAATCACTGGAAGGGATATTGGAGGTTTTCAGGTTTCAAATATCTCCTGACCTTTAATTGCTTACAGTATGGATTTAGGACATTAGTTTTCTTGAAGCAAGCTAGCCTTACAGGTTTTTTTTAATTTCTGTACTTTTGATTTCGTTCCTTAATTTCCTATCCTTCACTCAGATATAACCCAGATCTGGGTTTATACAAACCAGGTTCAATGTTGGGAGGTTTCCAACAAATCATTATTTTTGGCTTCTGTCCCCAAGAAACATAGGACTGGTGTTTAGTAATAAACATGGCTTGGTAATAAAAGCAAAATGCAAAACTTAGTATTCTCTTTTGTCAATGCTAATATAGAAAAAAATACAAAAGTATAATGTTAAACCTTAAAATAGCAATGTCAAATTAAATGGATTGAATTCCTCTATGTAAAAAAAAAACCACCACCATGAAAAGGATTAAAAAAACCCCCAAAACATCCAACAAGGTTGTCCATAGGAAGTTCACCTAATGAAGAACAATGACCAGTCTAAAATTTAGCAAAATATAGCTAGTTCAAGAGAAACCAGATTTTCCTTGATATCTGAAAGTTGAATTCAAACTATCAAACATCAAGAGAGAAAAACATATATACCCAAAAGTTTACATAAGCATTTTTGTAACAGTAAAGAAATGGAAACAAAGTAGATGTTCATTAACTGGAGAATGGCTAAAGAATTTGTGGTACAAGAATGTAACGGAATATTACTGCAGTGGAACATTATAGACTGATGCAAAGTAAGTTCAGCCTGGAAAATAACACAGACAATGACTAAAATAATGTAAATGGAAAGAAAAACAACAATTGAAGAAGAATGTTGGGTAACTCTAAGGCTTGGCCTCAAAGCCCAGCGGGGTGAGGACGCATCTCCCTTTTTTTTTTTTTTTTTGGCTAGGCAATGGGGTTAAGTGACTTGCCCAAGGTCACACAGCTAGTAAGTGTTATGTGTCTGAGGCCAGATTTGAACTCAGGTCCTCCTGACTCCAGGCCCGGTACTCTTTCCACTGTACCACCTAGCTGCCCCTGCATCTCCCTTTCTTCATTGCCTACTAGGTATGTAGAATGATGCAGAAAATGGTGCGCTCAGTTAATGTGGTGCTTGGCTTTTTTGATCTGTTTTTTTCTTCTTTTTTCTTGTTTATTTTAAGTAAAAAATTTTTAATCTGAAATCTGTGAACTTGTTCTAAAAAACAAAAAAGATATTTTGATAACCACTTCAACACAAATGGTTTCCTTTGTAATCCTATGTATTTTATTTTATGCATTTAAAAACATTCTGAGAAAGGGTGGATAGATTTCACCAGATGGCTCTTGGGACTAAGAACCCCTGCTGCAGAGTAAACTTGCCATGTGTCCACTACACGTAGTTCACAGTGGAAGACAGGGTGGAATTTGCTCCTTCACATAATGAATGGCTTTAGCTGTGACTTGTTTGTCACAGAACTCTGGCTTCTCAGGGGCTCCTCTTCTTCACTCCAGGAGGCTGGGACAAGGAACTCAAGAGTTGCTCAGGAAGCCTCCTTCTCTCTCCCAGAATGCTGATCCGGCAGTTTCGTTCCCACTCCTTCAGCTTCTGGAATCAGTCAATTAATCAATTAGTCCCTACTATGTGCCAGGCTTCATGCTAGGTACTAGGCATACAAAGGCAAAAGTGAACCATCACTGTCCTCAGGAGCCTGAATTCTCATGGGGAGACATGTACAAATACAGGTGTTGCAGAGCTGGATACTATTAGGATTGAGAGGGCTGGAGTTAATTCCCACACCACCAATCATCATTGTTGTCAGCCAAGAAGCTGGGAAGCAGCACTGGGACAGTTTGAGTTAATTCTATTAATTAGAACCCTGATGTGGGCCTCTAGGGCAGAGACTATATAAAACCTGGTCGAGGATTTGGTATGGAGCTTTTGAGACCCCAGTAAACTTCCTTAAATATAAATTTTATCTCTTTTTTCATCTGCTTTTACCTAGGAATTACTGAATGTTTATATGAAATAATTTGCATATCTAACCTTCAGGCATTGAGAGGTTCTTTGCAAAAGGATGTGGAACTGTGATTGGGATAATAAGGATTTACAAAAGAGATACAAAGAAATTTTTCAGGGAATGGCACCAGCTTCAAGGGAGATGAACAAAGGCTACACATGGCCTGATCTGACCATGCTCTGCCTCCCTCCCTCACTGGTGCCCTCTCTCCCAGATTGCCTTGTACTTAACACGTTGTATATATTTTTATTTGCTATGTATTGATACTATTTATATACACACACATTTGCTGTCGCCCTCATTAGAATGTAAGCGCCTGGGGAGAAGAGATTGTCTGTGTTTTTACCCCTGTTGCTTAGGACATAATAGATGCTTAATACCTATCACCTGATAGTAATGCATTCCCCCCTCCAAAAAAAAAGTAGAAACAAATGAAAAGCATTGCAGAGAACAGAAAAAGTTCAGAGGGAGACAAGCAATACAACTTTTTCTTGGAAGCAAGCTGTATATAATGGAAATCACCATTTCATGTGCACTGTTTTTCTGTCCTGTGTATACGGAAGTACTCATGTTTGTTGGTATTTTTATCAATGTTCAGAACCAAAAAGAAAAAAAAACCAGTTAAATCCTAAAAGTGTAGTGATATCTAAAAGTGGTCATAAATTCATCAGCAAGCTAAGTATACCTTAATCAGCTGCCCACATTGTGGGGATTAGCAATGTTCTCTGCTGGGCTAATTGGTGGTTTAACTACACCTAACATTTTATGGAAAAGGAGTGAGATTTCCCTGCTTCTAGGGAGAAGACTGGAGCACCCTCCATTTTCATAGAGCAGACATATAATGAAAATCCTCATGCATACACAGAGCCTTAGTTGCAGTCTCCAGTTCAGAGATCCCCGGGTTCCTCTTTCCATTTATTACATCCTAGTCGTTCCCCAGACTACTCAGTCTCCTGTCTGTGATTCCGAAGTCTGTGCCCCCATGCCTGTCATGTACTTCATCATTCACCTGAAACTGTTCTTTCCAGTCCAATAACCTTTCACTGCCTGAATGGTCCTTTCTTAGTCTTCATTCTTAACTGACTTCTCTGCTGCATTTGGTACGGGCAACCCCTCCTTTACTATTAGATATTCTGCCTTCTGGGCTTTAGTGGCTGTTCTCTCTTGGTTATCTGACCTCTGCAACTGTTCCTTCTCTATCTCTTTCATGGAATCATCCACCCTATCATGACTCCCAACCACTGGTGTACACTAAAGCTCTGGCCTGAGCCCTTTTCTTTTCTTACTTGATAACCTCATCAGTTCCCATGAGCTAATTATCATCTCAATTCGAAGGACTCCCATGCTATAATATATGGTACATAGTAAGCCCTTCTTGCTCTCAGAAGTTACACCTCCAGCTGCCTACTGGACATTTCACACTAGGTTTCTTGGTGTCTGTCTCAAATATAACAAGTCCAAAACTAATCTCAATTATGCCCCCTCACCCCCGCCCCCAGCTCGTTCCTTTTCCAAACTTCCCCATTTCTGTCAAAGGTACACTAACAGACTGGCTTTTTTTTTTTTTTCAACTTTCTTTGTGTTCCCAGTGCTTAGTGGTGGTAGACACACAGAAGGCACTTAATAAATGGACCTGACTGCTCACTCGGATTCACAGCTTCAACTTTATCCTTGACTTCTTACTTTCCCCCGTTCCACATATCAATGCCATTGACCAGTCTCCTTGCTGCTGTTCTCACTACATCTTTCTCCTCTGTCCCTTTCTCTCCATTTATGTGGTTCAGGTCCTGATCTAATACTGCTTCCTAATCCAGCTCCCTGCACTAGCCTCTCCTCCACATAGCTGCCAGTCACCTTCCTGAGGCACAGGTCTGATCGTGTTGTGTCCTTACTGAAACTTCAGAGGTGCATTATTGCTTTTGGGGCCACACAGAAATTCTTCTGTTTGAGTTTTAAAGTCCTTTATGATCTGGACCCGAAGCTGGTGATGCTGGTGATAGGTGGCAGCACGTGCAGAGGTAGTTGACAGGAGGTTAATTCTTTACCATGAACGTTCCCTTGGACAAAAGCTGCAATGGCCAGGCTGGAAGGGCTGGAGGTGCTGGAAATATTGTTCCTGCTGATACTGCTCCTGTGCTTGACTGCCTACCAACTGTAGCTGGAATGCGGTTGGTATTGCTGGAGCCTAGGAGGGAAGGCCCCTCTTCTGAATTTGACAGTGGCTATGGCTTATGGCTTAGAAGTAGGAGCAATGGGGAAAGGAAGCAGGATGGAAATTCTTTGGTTCCTGTCCTGTCTCTACTGGTCTGAGGGGAGGTGGTTGTTATTGTTGGTTTCCATGGAGAAAAGAAAATAATATCTGCCTGTACCCAAAATTACCAATCTCACAAAAGAGAGCATCATCTATCAGGAGGATAGGTATAGTTCCTTAATGAGGAGAGAATATTTAATTGTTTCTCAATAAATACAAAACGGAGCAGGGTCTTAAGAACTGACCAAGGAGCTGAAACTTAAAACAAGGTAATATATTATTGAAATCAAGTGAAGAAGGAAGACAATTCAATATTAATATTCAGTACAGATGTGATAAATCCACTGTACTTTTAAAAGTCAAACTTAGGACAGGGTCCTTGAAAAAACCAAGGCTAAAAATTTGAAGGAAGAATCTCATGAAAAGTGAACAGACAGAAACAGATAAAATGCAGGACTTTAGCATGATGGGAGAAGGAAAATATAAAATCAGGTACCACAAATAAAGGTTAATGAAACAAAGAAGTGAGAGATAGTATAGCAGAAGGATGATCATTTACAAACTAAGCTCTTATCTCAGCAGGGTAAATAAAAATTTTTTTAAAAAAGATTTTATCAGTAAAAGTAGGATTCTTGCAAAGTAAGAAAAGCTTTATTGTGTTTGTCATGGGCAGGAGCAGAAAATGCTGAATGTTAGTTCTTATCAGTAAGACAGCTCTTAAAAAGAAAAAGAGCAAAATGGAGGGCTATGCTGATAAAAGAAATAAGTAAAATAACAGTATAAGTGGATAGAAAATGAAAATTAGGAATAATAATTCAGTGGTTGCTTTCATGAAGAAAAAGAAATTAAACTGCAGAATGAATTAGAACACTTTCCCCCAACAACTTACTGCTTGTAAGAAATATACCCAAAACATAGGAATTCACACAAATTTAAAGAAAAGATCTAGAAAAAAGTTCCCTCACTAAATCAGGGAAAAAAAAGTATAAATACAATCAGGATTACAGTTAAGTAAGTAGCTGAATGTAGATATTGTTAAAAGAGACAAGCATTATGATTAAAGGCACTCCATTTCAACTATGTAACAACCAAATGGCATCCATGAACATTTATATTTCTAAAAGACAAAGAGCAGACTTAATACACAATTGAAAGAAACAAGAAAAGCAAAAACCAATGATCCTAAAAAAAGCACAAAAATATTTTAAAAATTAAAAGTGAGATGAATTGAAAACAAATGAACTAAACTAATTAGCAAAACAAATAGAATGTTTTGAAATGAGTTAGAGAATGGATAAACCACTAGTTAACTTTTTTCTAAAAGTCTAAATCAACAAAATAAAAAATTAAGGGAAGGAAAGAATTCACAGTAAATGGACAGGAAAATAATAATCATTACAAACTAAAATTAAAAGCAAATTACATGGCCTTAATCCTTTTATCACTATAAACCCCTGCCCTGGGGCTCTGATGTCCTAACAGGTGATTTTCAGTCACCCCATTACATTTAGGCCTGGCTGTAGTCATCCTTCACTTCACTCCTCTACCTTTTTGCCATCCATCTTGCTGCAGAGATCAGAATTATGCCACAGAGGAAGTAATCCTTTAAATACCAGTGACTAGGGCTCTGCTGTCCTGATTGATAGTTGGTTTGGTCACCCACCACATTTAGTCTTCATTACTTCATTCATCATCCTCATAACATTCCAAATCAAAATACCCTACCCTGGTCATCATGTCTGTGGTCTCCTCCTACTATAATGTAAATTATTTGAGGGCACAGATTTTGTATTTGTATCCCCAGCACTTTGAAGAGTGATTGGGACATAGTAAATAATTAAGAAATGCTTTTTCTCATTCATTTTTTTCACGTTTGTGTTTTCCATTTTTCACAGAAGTTCTTAATCAACAAGCATTCACTTTCATACAAAATACCAGGTACTGGGCTAGGTGGTGAAGATGAAAGTAGCTTATGTTGTATAAGAGATAAGAGAGGGGAGGCATCATGGTACAGTAGAGGGTGGTGGTGGAGGGAACCTATTGGATTTGGGGTCAGAGGACCTGATCTACTTGGTCACTTACTATCTGTATAACCTTGAGCAAACCACTTAGCTTCCATGGGCCTCAGCTCCTCTTGGGCCACTGCCCTCTTTATCTTGACCTCTCCTCCTCTTCCTCCTAGATCAAAGGCTCAAGAGTTACCTGAGGATCATAAATTCAAAGCAACCTGCCTGTGCCTAGAGATAACAAAAAAGCTGACCATCTAGCCTAAGTTTCTCTCTTGCCAACTATTTTAGGAGCTTAAAAATACCAGTTATTAATAAAAATATCACCACA